AGGGACTTCCCTGGAGGCCCAATGGTTAAGAATCTGCCTTGCAATGCAGAGGATGCAGGTTCAAGCCCTGGACAGGGAACTAAGATTGCACATGCCGTGGGGCAACTAAGCGTGCATGCTGCAACTACGGAACCCACATGCTTTGGGGCCTGAGCACCACAAGAAAGAAGCCTGCGTGCAGGCACCTAGAACCTGACGCTGCCGAACAACAAAACAAATACTTCTTTAAAAAGATATGAGACACAACAATCAAATGTGTGTTTCTGGTTGAACACATGAGAACAACCAGATCCATGGAGGATCCTGGAGCAGCCAGAAGCCCATGTCTGTACGGAGTGTAGCTGACAGCAAGGAGTTCAGTCTCCTGTATCAGTTTAATGATGCTACTGCAGTGACAAGGAATGGCCCTAGATTCAGAGATGCTCATTAAAATATATAGGGGTGAAATATCATTATTTCCAGGATTTGCTTTAAAATACATCAGCAGGGGAAAAAAAGATTCAGAGAGTAAGAGAGAAAGCAAAGTGGGCAAACCTTGATCATAACATACCTGCGTAAAGGGCCTGCAGGATGTCATTACACCATTATAGGCATACTACTTTGGGGGTATGTTTGAAAACCTTTAAAGATTTTAAAACATTTTAACAGAAAAGCAATGACAGAATACCTAAAAAGACATTTCTCTAAAGAAGACATACAGATGGCCAAGAGGACTTCCCCGGTGGCTCAGCAGTAAAGAATCTGCCTGCAAGGCAGGAGACACTGGTTCAATCCCCAGATCAAGAAGATTCCCTGAAGAAGGGAATAGCAATCTACTCCAGTATTCTTGCCTAGAGAATACCATGGAAGAGGAGACTGGTGGACTATGGACTACAGTCCATAGAGTCACAAAGAGTCGGACATGACTGAGTATGCACACAGACTGCATACCAAAAGATGCTCAACATTAGAAACATTAATTTTAGAAAAATTAATTATTAGAAAGTAATGATTTCTAATAGGCATTAATTATTAGAAAAGGTATTATTAGAAAAATACAAATTAAAACTACAAGGAGATATCACTTCACATCAGTCAGAAGGGCCATCATCAAAAAATCTACAAACAATAAATGCTGAAGAGGGTGTGGAGAAAAGGAAACCCTCCTTCACTGTCAGTACGAATGTAAATTGGTACAAACACTATAGAGAGCAGTTATGGAGGTCTCTCAAGAAACTAAAATTAAGGACTTCTGTGGTTGTCCATTGGTTAAGAATCTGCCTTCCAATGCAGGGGACTCAGGTTCCATCCAGGGTCAGAGAACTAAGATCCCACATTGCTGTTGCTGTTGTTTAATCTCTAAGTCATGTCAGACACTTTTGCAACCCGATGGACTATAGCCTATATGTTATGGGGCAACTAAGCTCAGACCACAAGTAGAGAGAAGCCTGTGCTGTGACGAAGAGCCCACATACTCTGGAAAGATCTGACATGGCCAAATAAATAAATAAATATTTTTTAGAAAACATAACCACCATATGATCCACAAGCCCACTCCTGGGTATATATCCAGAGAAAAACATCCTTTCAAAGGAATCCATGCACTCCAGTGTGCATTGCAGTGCTGTTTATAATAGCCAACATATGGACGCAACCTAAATGTCCACTGACAGAGAAATGCAGAAACAAGAGGTTGTACATGTATACAGCAGAATATTATTCAGCCATTACAGTGAGATAATGTCATTTGCAGCAATGTGGATGGACATGGAGATTATCATAGTAAGTGAAGTATGTCAGAAAGGGAACAACAAACATGCAGAATCTTAAAACATGATACAAATTATTCACAAAACAGAAAAAGGCATGATAAAGGACAGAAACAGTAATGACCTAACAGAAGTAGAAGAGATTAAGAGGTGGCAAGAATACATAAAAGAACTATACACAAAAAGTCTTACTTATCCAGATAACTGCAGTGATGTGATCACTCACCTAGAGCTGGGCATCCTGGTGTGTGAAGTCAAGGGACCTTAGGAAGCATTATTAAAAAGCTAGTGGAAGTGACAGAATTTCAGCAGAGCTATTTAAAATTCTAAAAGATGATGCTCTTAAAATCCTGCACTCAATATGTCAGCAAATTTGGAAAACTCAGCCATGGGACTGGAAAAGTTCGGTTTTCACTCTAATCCCCAAGAAGGGCAATGCCAAAGAATGTTCAAACCACCTAGATAATTGCTCTCATTTCACATGTTAGTAAGTTTATGCTCAAAATTCTAGGCTTCAACAGAAAGTTGAAGGAACTGAGCACATCCAGATGTACAAGCTGGATTTTTAAAAGGCAGAGGAACCAGAAAACAAATTGCCAAAGTCCATTGGGTCATAAAGAAAGCAAAGAAAGTCTAGAAAAACATCTACTTCTGCTTCACTGACTATGCTAAAGCCATTGGGTGGATACACTTTCATTTTTAATTTATCATCTTTATCCTTTTTTTTTCTTTTAAAAACAAGCATTCTTCTTCTGGACATTTACTGGTTACCATGTTACTGAAGTCAATTTAATTATTAATGTTAACATAAAAATCATCCTAAACACAAAGTTTCTGTTTATATTATCATA